ACTCCCACCCTTTGCCGCATTAAAATTTAATTACCGCTCAAATTTAACTTTTGCAAAGCAGGGATTTAGTAAAAAAGAAATTGGAGAGTTTAAAATAAGAAAATAGACCAGAGTTCTTGTTATGTCTTTTATATATGAAATAAGCGATGTGGATTCTTTTCTTTGTCTCATGACTCCAAAGTGAGTTGATAGCCCACTTCAGTGATACCAGGGCAATAATAATGCATTTGGAACATTAAGTGTCAAATTTCTCTCACATATTTCAAAAACTGTTTTACATTTTTCTGGTTTAACCTCTCTTGACACCAGTGAACTTAAGGCTTATAATTGAAGGATAAGTGAGCAAAAGAGCAGTTCAAGTGATAATATATCCATTTCCATTCCTATTTTCTGGACGGACACCTTTTATGCTAAGTTCATGTGAGAGCAAATTTTTATGACAAAATTATAATCCTCATGTAGCTGTTACTCAGGCAGGCTGAGATGTGTCCCAGTATAATGGATTTTGTGACAATGAAATGCAAGAGAGTCTCCCAAAAGCTTTGCCTAAGGAGTCTCTGACAGTAGCCTATATGCTGCTGAGATTTTCAAGATGCTATTATGACTCATTTCAACTCATTATAGAAAAATGCTTGGTATTTTAATCATGAAATACAATTGCACTGAAAAGGAGTGAGAACTGTAAAGGCATAATCTTTGAAATATTGCCATGTATTCCTATTAGCTGCACTATTTAGTAAATGTTGCTTTTAATGTGGTTTTACGCAATAAAACCTTCTAATTTGGAAGGTTGCATATATTTGTTACTCCTAATTTGAGTTCCACTCATAATTTTCTGCACGTCACTATTTGAATGAAAAGGAGGCGTCTTCTATGACCAGAGGTAATCTGAACTTCACATAATTCTCTATAAATTCTTTCTTCACTAAATGGTAGAATACTGCTTCTCCTATTTTAGTGAGTTAATTTTCTGAGTGAAAATATGTAAAGTTGCCTCAAAATGTTGTAACATGTACAGTTACAAATATCCCAGCAAGAGCCACATATTGTCTTCTTTTTTTCCTCCAGCTTTATTGAGATACAATTGACATAGACATTTTATAATTTAAGGTTTTCAACCTGATTATTTGTACATTATAGGTTATGAAATGATGATCACAACAGGGCTATTTAACGCCTTCATCACCTCACATAATTACGTTTTCCTGAGTGTGTTGAGAACATTTAAGATTTACTCTCAACAACTTTCAAATATTTATGATACCCAACGTCCANCTGAGTGAAAATATGTAAAGTTGCCTCAAAATGTTGTAACATGTACAGTTACAAATATCCCAGCAAGAGCCACATATTGTCTTCTTTTTTTCCTCCAGCTTTATTGAGATACAATTGACACAGACATTTTATAATATAAGGTTTTCAACCTGATTATTTGTACATTATAGGTTATGAAATGATGATCACAACAGGGTTATTTAACGCCTTCATCACCTCACATAATTACGTTTTCCTGAGTGTATTGAGAACATTTAAGATTTACTCTCAACAACTTTCATATATTTATGATACCCAACGTCCGTACATTTGGAATGGCCAAAGTAATTTAAACACTTTTGCAGGAACAAGTTGCTAAGGGGAACCTGAGAACAGAGAATTTTTGTATTCTCAGTGATCTCCTGTAAGTTTCACTGGGATTTNGGGGAACCTGAGAACAGAGAATTTTTGTATTCTCAGTGATCTCCTATAAGTTTCACTGGGATTTACTTGTTTCTTTTTTCATCTAAACAAAACCAGGCATAGATGTTTGTCTTAAATGAGAAGCAGGCTCTTGTCAGTGAGCCTATTGTTTACTCATTCCCTAGTTATAGGATCTATCCAATGGGTAGGATGTGGGGAAGGTACCTCTGATAAGATATTTTAAAATCAGTTTGGAGTCATAATACCCATTGGAAGCTCAACTTTATTTACATGAGTAAATCATTAAAATCTTCCTTTTTTTACTTTTTTANTTCTTTTTTACTTTTTTTATTGAGTTTATTGGCGTGACAGTGATTAATAAAATCACATAGGTTTCAGGTATACAATCCTATAATACGTCATCTGTGTATTGTACTGCGTGTTCACCACCCCCCTCAAGTCTCCTTCCATCACCATTTATCCCCCCTTAGCCTCTTCTACCTCCCCCACCCTATTTTCTTATATAATGGAGAGGTGTGTCTCAGCCATTAGACCATTGCCAAGAAAAAAAATCAAANCCCCTTAGCCTCTTCTACCTCCCCCACCCTATTTTCTTATATAATGGAGATGTGTGTCTCAGCCATTAGACCACTGCCAAGAAAAAAAAATCAATATATAAAACAATGTCCCTTGAGTGAATATGGTAGTAAGAATACTAGAAAAGGAATGATTCAGAAGAATTGTTTTTGTCTGAGACATGCTGTAAGAGACAGCATCACTTGTAACTTGTGTGCAAAGTGCTCTTACTGGTAAATGAGAAATGACAAGGGAAGACTCACAGCACTGAGTACTAAAACTTCCCTATAAAGCTTTAGTTTTTAATTTTAACATGGATATTTTTCTTTGCCTATTTATTTTCATAATTTATATAAAGTCAAAGGAGTAAAATATCCTGAGAAACCATACAAAAAAGCTATGTAATTAAGCTAAAAAACGGTCTTGTTAGAATTTTTGATTTTTTTACTCAAATGATTTTCCTCTGATTGAGAAAATAAATGTTCAACTACATAATTGCTTAACAAAATAGTGTGTAAAACTTCTGTGTCCTTTGTAAACTGAATAACCCAGGATGATATTCAACAATTGGGATTATTCTCTCACCTCCTCCATCTATACAGCCAATGGAATTAAAATATTTATGTAAATTTTAAGGTTAGAATTTTTCAGCCCTTTCTCAGTTGAGTAAGCTAGTGGATAATTCCCATGTGACATATTTAATAGGACAAATTTACAATCCCATGTTCTGATCCAGTTTTGAATGCTAAATGTTTATGTATAGATGTTATATTTTTTATAAGGAACAATTTAATATCCTAACCACAGTCTGTCTTGTAATTTATTGGCTCTTTCATGTCTCCCTCCTCCTCTTATAAAGCAGTCTTGTTAGTTTGTATTGGTTTCCCTCCGACAATTTTACACGGGGAACTTTTTCCCTACCTCCATCAGAAACACTATCGCCTTGTAGGTCTGGTGGCACTCATTCTTCTATGGGCCCTAAAGGATTTATGAGGAGTGTCCCAGATTATTTGTTGACCTAGTTTCTCAGGATCTCATGGATCCTCAAAAATTTTATCCAAAGTGTTCTGAAAAGTTAGATTATAGGAAGTTAAGGAACTTTCTATTTGGCTTCAAATTCTGTCAGGCGTCTGTGTTCTGCATTTCTGGAATGTAGACACCACTGAGGTCACCTGATGTAGTATTGAAGCAATAAGGTTGGGGAAAAGGTATTTTGTAACCCTCTCTAAACAACAGCATTATAGACAGTGTAAAGGTAATAATTACTCTGAGTGCCCTTGGTCAGCATGACTCTCTCTCTCTCTCTTCAAGGTGTCCTGCATTTCCAGGCCTCCTTTCTATCCGTTACGGGCCGGCCTCGAAGGTGACCAGCCGTCCTGGCTGTGCTTGCAGCTGCCAAGAGATGTTTCGGCAGGTAGTTCCCTCTGGTTATGACAGGTTAAACTGTTTTGAATTTAACGTATATTATGTTGAGGGGAACTGGTTGTTTAAAGCACTGAGATTGATCCCCATATGAACCACTTTATTTCTTGCTAGTGTTACTGTTGTAATTAGCTAGATATTAACAATAGGAAGAAAGCAAAGGGAAGCCAGGCATTCGTGAGCAAGGCAGCTTCACCAGGAAGCTGCAGTTTGAACTCCACAGGGAGCCACCAGTCCATTCTCTGCAGGTCACTGGGGGAAGGGGTCCTACAAAGGGGAGATGGACACCTGTGCAGAAAAGTCGGGGTGACATAGGGAAAATATTTACCTGTCAGTCTAACCTGGGAACAAAGATAACTGGCTAGAGGGGTGGAGCCACTGCAAGCACACAAAATCTGGGAATACGTAATTCCCAAAGGAATTCTCTCTCCTGTTCCCCCGGCTTTGTCCCTGCTTCCTGCACTCACATGGCCTCGTGGACCCCACACACAAGGGACTGCAGCTGGAAACACAAAATATGGAGCAGAAACCCTGGACAACGGCTTTAATCTCAGCTCTGCTGAAGACACAGCTGGACTTTTCCTTGATGGGATGGAGGGAGATGGGACCTTGGAAACCCAGGGGTTTAAGTCCATGCAAATAAATATCACTCATTGTCCCATGTGAGTCTCAGAAAATTCCTTTTCTCGTCGCATTGCAAGAAGTCCACTTCCACCAGCAGCTGGTTGGGACACGGAGAGCTCCCCACTGATAACACTAGGACATGCTTTTGCTGTTGTGAAGATATAAGCAATATCTACTTGTATTACAAAAATATACATATGTAAGTAAAATAGGTTTTTGAAAATTGAAGATATTCTTTCTTATTAACAGAATGCATGAGAAACATTAATGCTTTATTATTAATGCTAATAGAGGAATATAGAGAATATAGTTAAAAAAACCAGAAGATGCATTTGGAATGTGTTAATTTTACTATATTAGCCCATAAAATGCTGAAGCCACACTGAAAATCTGATTCTGGAGAAACTGAGGATTCTCAACTCTTTTCTGTGACCCACTGTATATCACCTTTGAAAACAGTCAAATAATACTTAGTGCTGGGTTTGAACTGTAATTGGAGCAAAGAAAGGTAGTTAAAAGCTTTTTAAAAAAAGCTATTTGTTAACTTCCTATTAAGAGAAAACAAAAGCAAAAAGAAATAACATAGGACTTAAATGAGCAAGGTGATGTGGAAGCTTTATTTAGGGATAATTGAAGATTGACATTCTGGTGAAAGGCACAAAGAAGAATTAACTGGCTTATTTCAAACTGAGGGCAGTTCTTTAGGAAGCATGCCTGAGGATATACTTGGCAATAAACTTGACAGCTAGCATGGTCTCCTTGCAGGTTGACTTCATCTGAGATTCTGGAAGGAGAAAACCAAATTTGCCTTTATCTCGGAGCTCAAAGGCAAATGCGTGTTGGACGCCCAAGTTGTAAGCCCAGTCTAAAGATGAACCTGATGTTGGGTCTGTAAAACATGAGCAGTAAATACTTAATTAGAAACAAATGCTAATGTTTGTCTTGAAATGGAAATTCACTGGTGTAAAATTAGCCATAAAAAATAATTATGTGTACAGTTAATTGCAGTAATGAATGGGAGTAGTGGTCTGCATAGTACAGAGTGTCGAGTAAAATATAATCATAGCTTTGATACCCACCACACATTTTAAATATATGCTGTGTTTTCAAAATTACATTTTGCTTGGGTTGGTCCTCTACAGTGAGTTTGTTTCCTGGCACACACTATCACAGATGGAGTCTGTCCGAGCAAGGGCAAGCCGCTGAGGAAATCACTGAAGAGGGGTCACTGAAGTCCCGCCAATGAAAACTACACATACAAGCTCTGCAAAATTACATTCTTTCTAACAGTTCAGCTCTCTTTCTAGTCATTTGCTAGGGTAAACTCTTTTATAGCTAAAAGACCAAGAAAGTGTAAATCAGTTATCTTAAGGATGCATTTAATCTCCTAATTCAACTTTTCCATGTCAACTTTTATGAAATTTTACTAAAAATGTTATTATTTGGTAAAATGATTGAAAATATAAATACATCTAGAAGTTATATACATATAAGGTTTATGTAAGTGTATATAAATACTAATATTCATTCATATATTTTTTTTGCTTTACATAATAGGAAAACCATTTTTTTTGGTACATAAAATGATTTATGTTCCAGGACAAGTATTGAGTTTGATTGACATTAAAATTTTTAGGTTTGAAAGATAAGAATTCAAAGCTGTGATTAAAAAAAACAGAGAAGTATTTTGGTGGAAAGAGATAGACTGGCTCTTAAATTATTCAACAAATATTTATTAAACCTTTCATATGTATAATGCACTCTACTTGGCACTGTGGAGGGTGGGAGGGCAGGCAAAGCTGAGATGCCATTGGTGTCTTTAGGAACTTAGAATTTAGGGGAGAGAAGTCAGAGATGCAAAGCCATAGAGACTGGACAGAATATATAAGTACTATAGGAAAGGGACAACATCTTATGAGGATTTTAAGGCAGAAAGAGATTATGCCTGGTGAGGGAGATGGCATTTCATGCCCAGTGCCTGCTCTAATTCCACCTTCGTGGTGGAGGTGGTGTTTGAGGTGAGGCTTGAAGAAAGGTGCACTTTTCCAGATGAAGATGGAAGAAGGGCATTTTGGCCAGTGAGCCACAAGGACGGGAAAGCATGAAAGCGTTTTTAGGGGCCAGTGACATCCAGCTGGACTGGAACCAATGGAGCAGTGAGAGTTTGTAGGCAAACTCAGAAAACCCGATAAATCAGGCCAAGGCGGTTTGTCTGGGAGGCAATAACAGCCAGTGGCGCTATACTTAAGATGGTGAATCCGCATTAGAAAGAATAGAGACCAGCAGGGAGGTTGGAAATGAAAGCTGTGCCAGTGTAGACTCACCACACTCAGAATAGAATTGAGGGCTCAATGTAAGAAACACAACATTTGGAAGTCACAACATTTGATAAAAATTAGTGAGATTTCAATCTGGGTGGCTTAAAAAATCCACATTATTAACAGAAACAGAAACTCAGAGAGGGCAGTGCTGGAGAAAAGAGAGATTAAAGGAAGGAGGCACAATGATATATATTTAGATCAATCAAGAACTTGGAAAAATGAATTTTAAAGTTTGGCAAAAGCATCACAGGGGAAATCGGTTTGCATAAGATCATTATGTCCTTTTGGTGAATTATTTTATTATTCTTAATGCCCCTTTTTGGTTCTAGAAAATTTCTTTGCTCTGAAATTTACTTTACCTGATATTTATATGGCCATGCCTTCTTTGATTAATATTTTCATGGCATATCTTTTTCCAGACTTGCCGTTTCAACCTGTCTGTTACACTTGAATTGGGTTAATGATAGTGTATTGGTGAAGCATATATTTTTTAATCTGCTTGCTAATCTCTGTCTTTTAATGAATATATTTAGGTAAATTATTGTTAAGATTTAAATTTTCCATTTTATTTGATTTTTGTTTGTTCCCTCTGTTTCTATTACTCTGAAATAAGAGTTTATTTTATATTTTATATCTTTAATTATATTTAATATTTAGTATTTGAATTTATTGCCTTCTGCTTGGTTACATGAACATTTTTAGGATTCCCTTTTGATTTACTTATAATATTGCTTTTGAGTATATAACCTTATATAGTTTTCTTAGTGGTTGCTCCAGGTATTATAATATACATATGCAACTTACTAAAATCAATGTTTTATCGTGTCAAGTGAGATATAGAAAACTTGCATTTAGGTTCTTTTCCCCTTCTCGCTTTTTAAGTACAATTGTCTTGAGTACTTCTCTATGTACATTGAGCAGCAATCAGATGGGGTTATAATTTTTTATTCATCCCTCAGGAGGAGAAAGATAATCTAGTTCATTCGCTCATTCATTCATTCTCTAATCCATTGTTCTTTCTTCTTTTCTATACTTTCAAGACTTCTTCTGTTATCATTTCTTTGTTACTTGGAGAGCTTCCTTTAGCCATTTTTAAAGGGTAGGTCTGCAGCTGACGAATTCTCTTTGCCTGAGAATGCCTTTATTTTTCTGCATGTTTGAAGGATATTTTTACTGAGTATAGAATTTTGGGTTGATAGCTCTTTTAGCACCTGAAAAATGTCACTTTCTGTTGGCCTTTAGTAGTTTCAAACAAGAACTCTGTTGTCATCTGAGTTGCTTTCCCTCTGGATGGTTTCTCCTGTCTGCCTTCAAGAGGTTTTCCTTTGTCTTTCGATTTTAGAATTTTAGTTATGACCTGGTTCAATGTGAGTTCCTTTGAGTTTATCCTGTTTAGGGTTCACTCAGCTTGAGAACATTGGTTTATGTCTTTAGGAAATTTAAGAAATTTCAGTCTTTATTTCTTCAAGTATCTTTTTCTAGCCCCACTCTTCCTCTTCTCCTTTTGGGACTTGGATGACATGAATGTGGGAGCTTTTCTTATGCCACAGGCCCCTGAGGCTTTGCTCACCTTTCCTTAGTTTTCTCTGCTCGTATTGGGTGAATTCTATGGCTCTGTCTTCAAGTTCACTGATTCTTCTTGCCATTGTATTCATTCTACTATTGAGCCACTCCAGTGAGTTTTATTTATTTATTTTTTTATAAAATATTTAAGTTATTGCATTTTTCAGTTTTCTAATTTCCATTTGGTTCCTTTCCATGTCTTGCATTTTTGTGTGTGAGATTTTCTGTATTTCACTTTTTTCATCTGTGACTGCTTGTTGAAAGGTTTTTATGATGGTGACTTTGAAATTCTTGTTAGAGAATTCCATCATCTAAACCATCATCTTAGTGTTGGCATCTGTTGCTTGTCTTTCCTCATTAAAGCTGTGATTTTTCTCACCTTTGGTATAACAAGTGACTTTTGATACTGGACATTTTAGCTATTGTGTTAAATCTGAAATCTTAACTGAAATATATTTTAGCAGCAGTCACCCTGTTTAGGTTTAGCATGCAGGCCCTGGTCTTCTGTTGTGACTTGTGGTTCAAATGACAATATAGTGTTCAGAGCCCTTGCATTGCTATTCTGGTCTCTTGGTTCACCTAGTGCTGTGGGGCTCCCACTGATTCCTGCAGGTAACTGCTGCGTGGGGCAAAGGTGATTTGCCAGCTGGGCTACCTGGTGCCTCCAGGTGGCAAATGCAGGCTCCAGCCTGTGAGGCGAGAGCACTTCCCCAGTGGGGAAAGTAGCAGAAGAGGAGGGGCCTGGAGAGAGAACCTGTGAGGTATCTGCATATGATATCTATGTTTTGGAAAAAGTCTACGTTTCGAAGCAGTCAGCAGAGACAGAGTAGAAAGAATGGAAAGGCAAATCAGGGGGCTTTAGTGTCAAGGAAGCCAAAGGAATGGCAAGAAGAAGGGATGTGGCAGGGAGTTTGTGGAACACGTAAGCTGAGATAACTGTCCTGGCTTCAGTGATCAGGAAGACTGCCAGCTTCAGTGGAGTTGGGTTTAAGTTCGTTAGGAAGAAAGCACATAAAGGTAGGAGTTCGGTAGCAATGGAAGTAAGGGAGTGTCTTACATGGTGTGTCCTGCATGGTGACTGAGAGAGTTAGACATTTTAATAAACTGGGCCAGTTTCTAGCTGCACCAGCTATCCACTTGCAGTTAAATAAACTGTTGTGCTTTCAAAGAATTAAAGAGTACGGCTATTTCATTTTGACAAACTTATTTTATGTGAAATTTCTCATTAAGTTTAGTAGTGGTGATTGAGAATATATATATTTTGTGATTTTTCATAACAGTATGATGTTATTGGGTATAATAAATATTCTTTTATGATACCACTTTTTGTATCTTCAAAATCTTAAATTTACAAACCAAAAGTGTATTAAGGGAGAAATAAATGCAACATTGAAAGCTTTTTACTTGTAAGAAATAATACATTATTGTAGAACTTAATTTGTTGAACACGCTACTTAGCTATTTATTTACCTCCATCTGTACCCACTAAAATATGTGTATATTTATAAAATATAATAACAATCACTTGCTAAACTAACTCATTTCATTAATTCCTATCACAAGTTTATGATTCAAATGCCAATTGCTATTTTACAGAAGAGGAAACCTAGACACAGAGAGATTAAGTGATCTGTTCAAAGACACATAGCTAGTAAGTGGTTGAGTCAGGCATCAAATCCAAGCTGCCTGTCTTCAGAGTTCGTGCTATTAGCCACGTACAGTGCTACCCACCATATGCCAACCTATAGTTCTCTCAATAAAGAGTCTTCATTGAGTGCTACAGGTAATTTTTTTTGTTGACAATATTTTCTTAATTTATCAATATTACAAAAACTTTGTATGTTCAAAGCACATTAAGTATAAGGAGCTTACTGTAATACAACAAAAACAAGTCAAAATAAAACTGAACTGAGCTAGGAATTAGGTTTTAGCCCAAAGGAATCCACATAAAGTGATGCTGGTGAATTAATGTATTTTTTTAAAGTATTATTGACGTGCAGTAGACATAATAATCTGCACTTTTGTAACAACATTTAGAAAATTCCATTTGAAGTAAGAGCTGAAGCTAGAGATACACGGTCATAAATTAAAATATTTTTTCTGCCCTTCTGTTTGTAAATATAATCTCAGCTTGACTTTCTCTTAGGTAGATATTGGGTGTTGTGAGCTACAAATTTTTGGCCTTGATTTCCCCCTTTTCCAAATGTACTGGGGGAAGCAGCCCGGGGCTGAGAAACAGGAGCAGATCTGGCAATTTTGGTGCATGGGAAGGCAATAAAAAGGCACTTTGAAGTCAACTTTTTAATGCATGATGTGGCTCACAAGTGGATGATACTCATAATGATGCAGGAGACCTGGTTTCTATTAACTCAATGAACTATTCTTGCTAACCAGGGACTCTGTTCAGTTATTTCTAACATGGTAAAGGATTGGATATGCTATCAATTTGCAAATGTAAACATTTTGCAATCCTTTAACATCAATTTTTGTGCGATCTAAATATTGCTGTTTGTGGCAGAGTACTTGGTATCCAGTTGACTGTGGCCTGGAATGCTGACTTTGTTCCTGTTCTGCTCTAAAGTAATAAAATCTTTCTGTATGTCAATTTTTCAGTCTATAAATGAAGGGTTTAGCTCAGATCAGTGGTTCTCAAGCCTTGTTTCATCTTAGAATCCCTTTGGGTACTTCAAAAAAAAAAATGCAGCTGCCTGGGACCCACTACAGACTAATGAAATCAGAATTTTTGAGGTGGGGCCTGATCATCTGTGTATTATAAAAGCTCCTCAGATGACTCTACTGGGACGGGAGGCTTAAGAACCATGAATTAGATTAGTGATTTTCAGCTGAGTGTGCTGCAGAATTGTTAAAACAAGCAATATCTGACTATTTAGTCAGGGGCACTGACCTCTTTCCTCTCAGATTATCAAATAAAAAAATGACAACAGCCAACACAACAATAACCATCCCATGTGAATTAATCAAAATTATAACTATTTTTTTGTCAGCTCGGCATAAGACATATTTTTTGGTGTGCCACAAAATTTTAATAATTAGTTTATGTGTGCCACGAGATGAAAAAGGTTGAAAATAACTGAATTAGATAATCTTTTATGTTTCCTCCTGGTTTAAAATTTTTGGCTTTAAGTTATTTGCTATAATTGCTTCTTAGGTTCAAATTGCAAACATTTATTTTTTTCTGAAGGTCAAAGAGCTCTCCACAATTTGGGTTTTAAAAATGCTCCCTCAGACTTTTCTTCTGTTTCTACCAAATCAAAGAGGTTTGGCTGCTTTCCCCAAGTCCCTGTACTTGCTAAGTAAAACCAGGATATCGGGATGACTGAGTTTAATCGTGGGTGCCCTTGTTTTCGATTCTTCTCAAGTCCACCGCTTTGGACCCCTTCCTTCTCAGGAAGGCTTGGCGTCCACCAGGCGTCATCAAGGCCTGCTCCCCTAACGGCTCTGAACGTCCGTCAGGCTGCTGCAGCCCTGTGTGGAAGAGGCCATGCTTCTGAGCCTGAATTCCTTAAAAATCTTTTAATATCATATAGTAAAACTTCAAAATACTGCTACACAGTTGTACAGAATAGTAATTCCTCTTCAGCCTACCCTCTTGTTTCGAAAGTGCCACACGGTGGGGTGGCATGCAGCTGTGGCATCTTTGGCTATCTGCCAGTTGGAAGGTAACTCCTTGGGAGTAGTCATTGTGACTTAACTCTTCCCACCTCTCTGTCGAAGCTCAAAGCCTGGGCAATTACTAGGTAGGCGCTGCGTAATTAAATGATTCTGCTTCAGTGCCATGCGTAGCTCTGCTCCACTCATAACTTGCATATATAGATGTGGAAAGTGTGAGAGGAACAATCCTTGGATTTTCGGGTTGCCATTTGCAAAGTTTGTTCCAGTTGGAACCCTTCGTTCTCTGATGCTAAGAATATCTGTGTGCTTTTCCTGCTTCTGATGTAGGAGCTGCCCTCACATCGTGGCTGGTGGCTTCTCTGGCCCTGCCCTTCTCCGCACCCACGAAGCAGGCTGCCATTTAAGCTGCTGCTCCAGCCTGTTCGCCTGTCCTTTGCTTTGCCTGCTTTTTGTCTGCTCACGTAGCTGGATGCATAATTTGTTCTGAAATCCCGTTGTCCTCCACTTGTGTGTATGATGAATTCCCGGCACGGCTGGATCTGTTTGGATACTGGCAGCATGATCTGTTCGGGTGCTGGCGACTGGCTGGGCCGTTGCACGTGTTCTTTAGCCTCTGACAATGACTGGCTGATAGGTGCTTGCTGAGGAATGTCCTGGAGGAATGGCACTTGCCTGGGTTATTTTTTTAGTCATGGATCCAGTTCCACCAAAGGAGCCTCTGCAATAGGTTGGCTCTAGAAGTTGCATGCGATGACTAGGCATTTTCAAAATTCATACTTCTAGCTCGGGGTAGGGAAGTGGTTTATAAAGTGTGGCCAGGGAGAGTTATTGCAGAGAATCCACAAATTCGAAAAGTGTAATGGAAGTAAGCGTGTGTTTTTGGCTGTGATGAGTTGCCCATGAAATGCAGTCTTTATCCTAAAACACTGGCTCTCATGGCTCTAGGGAGTGAAGCAGGCTGCATCGAGCCTCGTCCTGTGGTGGTTTCGGCTCACGTTTACTCTTTTTGGATACGACAGGACACCACGTCCACTGAGCAAATTCACGGCAACTACTTCTGATGTTGTCGGTGCCCTGCACTATGCGAGATCTTATGTGGGCTAAGAGGAGATCAGAAGTATAATCCTTGCTTTGGAGGAATTAAATTTTGTTAAGAAGTTAAGGTTTTGTAAGCAGTTTCACTGGGAATTTTCTGTAAAGTTTGGGCTTAAGAACTGAAGCTCAGAAATGGTTTGGATAAAAGGCAATTTTTAATAAAGTATTTCCAAACGAACACCAGTGGATCTCGCCACAAGAGCAGATATGACCTCACTTTCCAGGGTCTGGATAATGGCCTTTGGTGAAAATCAAATGAATATATTTTCATTGCTCGAAAATAGAAAAGCCTGATTATTTTAGCTGCAAAAACCAAATGGGAGAAAAGTATGCACAGTGCTCAAAATTGTGGGCTTTGGTTTTTGTTAAAACCCTGGAATGAATCCCAGTTTAGCTAGTTACAAGTACTGCCCAAGTCGTAGGGTGTGCTGAGGATATTGGGTCATGGACGCAGGTACTGTTCTGTGGTTTCTTTTTGCATTTAGATAATATATTATTTATTGACTTGTAAGAAATATAAGTCAATAATTTAAAATGCACAAAGCAAGTCTAAAAATAGTGAAGAGGAAGAAGCGGTGCTGAGACACTAAAACAGAACAGCAGAACTAGAGCCCTGTGACCTTCCTTAAGCACCATGCAGACTTCAGCGGGACACACTGGGGCAGGGCTGCTGAGAGGGACAGGACACTGGTTTTATAAGGTGAAGGTGGCTGGAACCGTCGGCTCACCCATTTTTCCACCAGGAGCTCAGGAAAAGGCTGTGCTTGCCTGGGGGGACTAGCCCAAGGAAGAAAGAGTCTAATTAAAGTGAAATGATTAAAATAAAAACGGATTGCCTGACCGGGTAGCTCAGCTGGTTGGAGCTTCATCCTGGACACCAAAAAGTTGTGGGTTCAATCGCCGGTCAGAGCACATATCTAGATTGTGGGTTCAGTCCCCGGCTGGGGCACATACGGGAGGCAACTGGTGGATGTTTCTCTCTCGCGCTCTTCCTCTCTCTCAAAAATCAATAAAAACACATCCTCAGCTGAGGATTAGAAAAAAAGTATCAACTCTGCCCCAACTAATTCTTATTGTTCCTGTGAGCATAAAATGTTGTGTAGTTGGTGGGATAGGAAAGGGGATGAATTAAATCACAATTTTTTTAATTTAATGACTTTGGTTGACCTTGTAACCCTGTAAAGAGTTCAGTATAATTTGTTTCTAGAAAAATACGATCCTCACCAATGGCAGATTTTAGCCCCCTGATTCACATACAATTCAAAATCACCTGTTAAAAATAAAGGTTAAATGAGCAATTCCAAATGTTCGAATTCTAATTTACATATTCTATGCTTTTCTTAAATATTTATAAAAAATGATTAGGGAAAATGTCACAGTAAGTAATAGGAAAAACTTACAAATTGTTGATGCTATTGGGCCATAGGTGTAGCTGGTTTAATATTGAGTTGATAAAACATCGGTGCTGATCTTTGCAACTTTGGCCTGGAGAGAAAGGGAAGTTAGGAAGTTAGAGAACTATGTAAATGCCATTAATTTACTGGGCATTAAAAAAGTCAATTATACTGGCATTTGCAGATCAAAATAAAATAAATGGTCAAATGAGAAATTTATTTTCAGTAGGAGATATTGTCATTGTGAAGACTTCTAAATGTGAACTCAGTGATGTGCAGTAATGCCTTGTCTCATTTTGTGTGTCTAGGCTTTCTTTTCTCTCTCCTTCTCTCCCTCCCTCTCTGACGTCCTCCCTCTCTTCATTCCATCATTCCTTATAAAAAAATCACATCTTTCTTCTTCCTCTCAGACTTTTTTCTGGTTTCAGATATTTTTTTTAGCTTTGACATTTTATTTATTATTTTTTTAATTAAAATTTTTGGGGCAAAATTGGTTAATAAGATTATATAGAAATGTATAGCATGCATTTCTATGATACCTGATCTGTATATTGCATTGCATGCCCACCACCCAGTCACATCATCTTCCATCACCATGTATTTGGTCCCCTAAACCCTTTCATCGCCCTTCCCTCTGGTGACCACCATATTGTGTCTCTGAGTTTCAGTTTTGTATCCCGCATATGAGTGAAATCATATGGTTCTTAGCTCTTTCTGACCGACTTATTTCACTCAGTGTGAGATTCTCGATGCCCATCCATGTTGTCTCTGGCTTCAGAGCTTTGTCTCTTCCAAGCCAGCTTGTCCCCTGTTCCTCCTTCCTTTGTCTTTGCAGGGTCCGCATCGCCATAAGACTTTCTCCGCATGAGGTTTAGCAAGCCAAGGGAAGAAGGGTGGTCGGCTCCACTTTAAAACAGTTCTCTCGTACCCTTTGGGACAGTGTGGATGGACCTGGAGTGGGTGGCGGAGGTCAAAGTCTGCGTCCCTCAGCACAGCCCCCACTTCTTCTGATGGGGACTCACAAAACACTTTAAGTATTTTAGTCGCCCAGGTTGATGGGGCCCCTCTGTTTCGGGCGCGGTCGTCACTGCAGACGACCTTGGCACACGCAGCCCCGTGGAACAGCCTCGGCCCACTGGGGCACCCTCAGCCGTGGTTATTTCTCTCCTGTCCCAGGGTCACTGGAGTCGCACACCAGAAGCAGCCCCGGGCCCAGGCCGGAGGGTCCCGGTTCCAGTCCAACCCCAGCTCCAGCTTGCTGGGGACCGGCTACTTTCTTGGAGCCAGGTTTCTTCAACCCATTTCAGCAGGCAGCCCTCAGTCAGGGAAGCTGCTATGACCATGTTCCTTATGGTAGAATGGAATGAAAAGCTCAGGTGGCATGTTAACAAAATTAGGTAACGAAAAATAGTGAATTGGAGTAGTGGAAATTTCTCCTTGAATATTGTAATGATAAAGTCATATTTGTGTAGCAACTACAGAGTCAACTGATATAGCAGGCCTTTGCTTTTCATTCATTTCCATAAACCTCTCCACTCTCTTTCCCCAGATGTTTCTTTTTGCTGAACATCTGAAGAACTACCTGTGTGTTGGTTTTAATCACTGGTCTTTTTCAACTTTTATCAGACTAGAATGAGGAAGCATCTGACATGTTTCTTCAGATTAACTGAATTTTTGTACATCTGGATTGTGCTTAATCTTTAGCATGCTAAATATATTAAGTGAGAGATGGCTTGATAAACAACCCCATGCTCTACTTCTTCCCATACAACAAAATATTCACAATACTTCCGTAGTGGTGATGATTACTTTTCATTTTTTACATTAGAAAATGAACACTCAGGCAATACATATCTTTGCTGAAATAAGTAGGCAGTTTAAGTAAACTTGGTGTCTAAACACTCTTTATAGCTCTTTTCCTTGAGCCAAGTCAACTCACAGTCCACGAAGCATTGAAGTTCCTGTTGAGATCAGAGCCGATGCACCTGTAGCCTCGGTTCCTGGAATGATTTTTTCTCCACGTGTGGTTCTGCAGGATGAAGTGATGGAAGAGTTTACAGCAGATCAGTCTGTGTCTTTCAGCTTGATCATTTCAGATCCTCTATGCAAGTGTCTACAGCTTTATTGGAAATCTATCTAGTAAAACTGAGACCTTTTATTATAAAGAAAAATATATTGTTTTCTTATAACTTGTTATATTTTCCAAAAGATTGCTTTTTACATTAATATTCTAATTCAGTTAGTTTTAAAAACTGTTGATTAGTTCTCAGTATTAGAAAAGATAAATGATGTCCTGAAATGACCTATACTTTAAATTATAGCTTCATTACATCGTTCATCATTTATAGATTCAGATATGATACAGGTCAGATTGTGACTGCTGGAGCACTTTTCAGAAAAGAACGTGATGTGATAGTATCTGTCTGAAAGTTCATTATTAATTTCATTTAGCAACAGAAGGGAAATAAAGGGTCCTGTTAAGAGTCACATATCTGTGTCACTATGAAATTTATTTTTTGATACAATTATTCCTCTTCAAATTCTGTCCCAAGTTGATGGAATACAGTGACGTTTGCTTTGAAGTCAATGTGTTCATAATATCTTTAAATGACTTGTATTCTTAGCTAGAACATGCTTTTGCCATATCATATAACATACATTCCCTTTATAATTACTGCTTTATTTAATTTTTCCACACTTCCAGCTTCAGCAGCAAAAATTTCATGTTGTTTTCAAGGACCTATGCAGCTAGGAAATCTTGCTTGCCTTAGTCTGAAATCAAGATTTTAAAAAATATACTTTTCTGGATTGGAATTAACTGGTTACCCAAATCTTAGACTTAATGCATAGCAATCAGTGTGCATTAAAGTCAGTAAGTACTATATTAGCTAAGTGCAAAAAAGAAGCTACAGAACAGTACCTGTGTCCATGACCAAATATAACCATCAACGTTGAACACAGGAAGAACATAAAAATCCATTCGGTCCAGGATTTTGGTCATAATTTTGTTTTTTCCATAAGTTTTGGTTGCCTGTAGGGAACAGGAAGAAACTGAAGCTGTTGGTGTAAAGTTCAGCTGCCACGTGGAAAGCTGCAGTTATAATAGTAACTATCACTCTTTAAGTCATTTGCCCATGGTCACATGATTTCAAAGATATTTCTCCTAAACTGCAGATAAATAAATGACCCATAAATGACAGAAAACAATGACATTTATTCAGACTAATGAAATTAATTGAACTGAGCATTCTTTACAGGATCATTTAATTATTGAGACTTGCAGCATTTCAAATGTAGCATGCAAGATACCTTTCACAGGGAGAAGAGAGGCCAAGTGCGAAATTAGCATGATGGCTTATTTTAGATGGGTTATTTCCCTCACATTCCCTATGTAAATATGGATTGAGTCTGTAAGCATAAGAATATGTAAATAATGAGAGGATCATAAATTAATTATAAACAGGATTAAAGAAAAAGTGTTCTATTGACAAAAAAACTCAAGCATTTAGAAATTGGCTAATCAACTTCTTCCTCCTCACATCTGATTGAAATTTCTCTAATTATCTGGACTTTGCATGACTACTGAAGTCTCTGTCACCATTCTTGGAAACTCTCTCCCAGGCACAGCTGTACTGGGGCCAAGGGATACCGCATCGTCCCATCACGGGTGTTCCTCTACAGGCTGAGTAAGGGGAGCGGGGGCCCTCAGCTGGGAGAGCTACAACATGGCAGGGGTAAGTCAGCTCTACTGGTAGGTTCATTCCTAGTGAAACTGTCCGTGCCCACAAAGCCACCGTTACAGGCTGCATGCAAAGGCTGTGGAAAGAGAAAGTTAAAGGTAGTAGGACACAGTAGGAATAGAGAGGAATAACTAACTAACTTTTTAAAACAGTGAGTTGTTTTCCACTCGGAAAGGGAACGTAAGCAGCCAAGTGCACGTGTGTTTAATGAAATACTAACAGGAACTAAAGGCCTGTGCTCTGAGCCTCCTGAAGAAACTACGTTTGTAGGTTATAACATTAAGGTGGTTTCAGATTTTCCATACCTACCTATAGGAAAAACTCTCATTTTGTAACAAAAAAACTGTTTTCATTTTATAAGCTGTCAACTGGAGTTTAAGAAGTCTGAAGGAAGGTGTCAATTTTTTAAAAACTGAATGCTGAGTAAGATCCAGAGCACTTATTTCCTGACAGCACCAGCCGTGGCTCGTCTGGTTGAGTGGAACTGCGCTCATTTGGAAAGGGGGCTTGCCACTCAGCGAACTGCTGAGACTTGACCGTCAAAGGAGAGCCCTGTGTGTTCCAATTCACTTACCTGATAGACGAACCACTGGCAGAATGCTGGGGGGATCCATTCTCGGGCGTGGATGCCACAGTCTGTAAAAATAGCCTTTCTTCTTCCATCCCTTTTCCCAATCTATTTAAAAATGAAGTCGATATATTATTTTGCATGAATTCACACATTGATCTCTTGTTGTCCTATAACCATATTCTCAAAGCAATTCTTTCCCCTGTCTCCTGCTGAATGGGTACCTGTATAAATACATGTTCCCAGGGAGGACCATGGAGTATATGTATCCTTAAATGTCTATACATAATTCATAATTTATTATGTAGAATACTTTTCAAAAGTTTTCTGTAGTGTCAGAGTTGCTTTTAGGCTCTTTTCTTTTTTTTTTTTAAATCACAATCTATTGTTTTTTTTATTTTATAGCTAACATTCTTTGGTCTCAGACATAGATTATAAAGTTGCTTCTGTTTCTGCCATTTTCTTTTGTTTTTCTGTCTTCATAACTATTAGGTTTGGACNAGACATAGATTATAAAGTTGCTTCTGTTTCTGCCATTTTCTTTTGTTTTTCTGTCTTCATAACTGTTAGGTTTGGACAAAAACTTAATGTTCCTGAGGGTTCACCCCTCCCTGGCATGACGATGTAGCTTTTATTTATTNCAAAAACTTAATGTTCCTGAGGGTTCACCCCTCCCTGGCATGACGATGTAACTTTTATTTATTTTTATTTTATTTTTTTAAATATATCTTTATTGATTTCAGAGAAAGGAAGCGAGAGGGAGAGAGAGAGA